AAAACCCTTTTTATAGTAATATCCACCTGTATATTATATTCGGTATATATCCAGCTGTAAATTTAGTTCATAACACTAGTGATCTATATATTATATTCATTATTTATAATGGTATTCATCTCTATACTTATTCCGTAGAACCCATGTCCTGTATTTATAGAACCATCATTTATCCTGCACTAGCTGCTATTGCACTTCTGGTTAGACCTAAACTGCATTTCGTTGCCTTGTACCTGTACCTGTGCAATGACAATAAAGTTGAATCTAATCTAATCTAATCAGCAAAACTCATCTCTGCCTCCTCATCTCTGCATTTGGGTCCTCAAAAACCTCCACCAAACATTGACAGTTTAATTATAATGGCAAAGTTACATTTTGTCGCACTTCATATGTTACCAGTACAAGAGGAATCAAATCAACCCAAAAGGAACACTGAGCCATCATCATGCTTACCCATGGATAGGATATTGTTTAAAACCAGGCTTCTTTCTCCCTTAGTCTGATTAGCTAGGCCCAAATTATCCCTTTTAGATTTATTATCTTACAGCAAAAGTGCAGAGATATAAAGTAAATAAAAAAAAAAATGTGTTTTACTTACTTTTTTAGAACAATTCTCATTTGTTTTTGTATTCAGAGCACTTTACTCTTGTAGCTATAAAAAAAAAAACTTCAGCTATTCTGTAAAGGCTTCGCTAAGGCAGGATTATCTAAAAGGGGTTCTGACCATTTACCATGGGCCCCCCGTCCACTTAGGAGCAGTTTGAAAATGAAACTTTGACTTTGGGGTGAAGTTTTGGAAACCATGGAAACCAGCCCCGTCTCTTTTGTTTTTTTATTTGGATTATGAAAATGGATTGTAGATGAGAACTGATGCTGAGGTGAGGCAGCATTAATTTACATAAACCAGTAAGTTGTTGCATGATGTCTCTTGGTATTGTTATCACTGACTGAGAAAGTTCGTTTTAGAACAACTGAGCTGCCCCGCCGCTTGTAATGTGGGGGGGTGGATTTCCACTTCGAATCTCGGTGCCCAGAGGAATCTGCAATTTTGATCTGCCCCTAAGGCCTCTTTCTGGAAGAGTTATCTGAGGAAAGCTTTTGTTGAAAGAAGTCATATGAAGCCACAAGCCATGTAGGGGAAACAGAAAATTTGGTTGAAGGTACTTTTAGATTAACTTTTTTGTCAACAAATGAAACACATTTTGAAGCAGAAAAATTATCCTGCAAAAAATCCTAATACTAAAAAACTTAAATCATGCTGAAATATCGTGATGGAAGCATCCATCTAAGGGAATGCGTTTCTCCAGCAAGGGTAAGGGAAGCAGGTCAGAGGTTATGGGAAGATGACTGCAATGCTAAAAAAAAAAAAAAATCTGTTCCACTCTACAGAACATGACGGCAAAATATCACCTTCTAGCAGGGTAAAGATCTGATATACTATTATTTAATCTAATTAACAGTTTCATTTTCTTTCTGCGTTAATAAACTGGTTTTGAATCTAATTTATTTTTATATAAATATGCTACCAGAGCTACAATCCGTTAAAATCTGTACATCTTTGTTGAGATTTGTTTGTAGAAAAAGTAACTGATCTGAACTTAAGACAGATGAAAATTTGGTTACTGTTAGTTCAAAGTAGGTAGAAAATCTAGAAAGCCATATATTCTTTTCAACTGCTTATGTCTATCATATAAACCATAATAAAGTTGAAAGATAACAAGTTTTACAAAAAGGTCAATAATATTATATAATCAAGTAAATATATCAATAGTTTGGACACCGCACCTTTTATCTAACAGACTTGTATTAAGGCATCCTATCACCTTTGTTCGGCAAATATATCAAGTATACTAACAGAGATAAATGGAAAAAAGATAAATGCAGAACATTTTCTCATAGCTTATTTTAGCAGTTGTGGTAAACAAAAATTTGTTGCTTTGTGCGAGAAAAGTGGGACAACATTTTTATTGTTTTAAACAGAGGCAACTTTTGGAAAATATAATGTATATAATCTGCAAATTCTTCATTGATGTTATCCTTCTTAAACAAAAGCATGTCTGATCCAGGTGTTCCCTCCTTCCCAAGACATGCAGATGTGGAGCTGAGCTACGTGCATTTTGCTCCAGACTTATCTGCGTAGATGTCAATCGGCTCTAGAGTCCAACTTGGTATTTCTGCATCTTTTCAGCGTCACACATTTTTAATCTTATCAAGGAATTCCCAAAGGTTTTGTCTAAGGAGGCTGCTTTAATTTTATTTTACAGCCAAGCGTGCAGAAATAAATGGCTTTCACCTGTGGAGATTAGAGTTCAAATAGCCCCCCTCCTCATCTTAAATGACCACAATGGTAGGCCAGTGCTCCTTCTGTGTGCACAATCAGAGCAGAGCAAATAGGGAGGCCCTTCTGACTCGACCTCAGTAATCTAAACATAGAGAATCTGCCCCTGCTTGTTGATTCCCAGTCGTTTTTGAAACGGGCCAAGGGGTTAGCGAGAAGCCTGCCAGTCACAGAGTAAACGAGACGTCTGACAGGGTGTGTAAGCTATGTGCCTTCATCTCACTCTTCTCATTCACACACACCTAAAACATGAGACAATAACAAGCAGAGAGTGGCGGACCAAGAAAACAGGAACCTGTTGCACAAGCACGGGCATATGCACAGGAATGAAATGTGTCTCCTTAGTTACAAAATTATGAAAGAAAACAACTGTCTGATCACATTCTTTTCCTGTCCTAACATCCCATAAACTCAGCAACTACCAACTGATCTAAAATACCTCCAAACGGTGTACACCCTCTGCAGTTATTGATTCATATTTAATTTGGCTCCGATGAGGAAAAGGAAACACCTTTCCCACTTTTATCAGGAAAAGGGTTACATTAATGTGTTTTCAGGCCCCTTTACTCTGATCCCCACAAATGAAATCCAGTGAAACAAACACCCTACAGATTCCACCAGGGTTAAAACTGTAAATGACTATCGTTTACAGTTTGCTGGAAGCCATGTTAAGGATACAGCATATATACTAAAGGTGGCAATCGGGCTCTGAGCTGAATGCAAACCTCTCAGCACCTTTAACACAGCATTCTAGGAAAACTGGTCAGAGTTGAAGGGAAGAGGAGATAAATGCAGTTTTAACTGTGATTAATCTGGTAATTCAATTTTAAAAATATTTGTGAATCCTAAAGGAAAATGAAATGTTGCCATAAGTCATAATAATGTTAATACGTAGGAAGGATCTCTTGTAGTGGCCTTTCTGCATCAGATTTAGAGATGCCGTTGACTGAGGACACACTGTTGGTGTTCAAAAGTCTTCAAAGGAGGATGCACAGGGATGTCCATAAATGCTCTTCGTTTTAATAAAAATTTTCTTTGTAAATTAATCTCCAAAGGTTCTGGAGGAGTTCCCAGAAAAGAGCCAGCCTCCTTCATTAGCTTGTTATTTGCTTTGTATTAGTGAAGGCTTCAAAAGAGACTGGGCTAAAGGATAATCTTTAAGTAAAACAATGACTTAAAAGAATTAGCCAGATCCACCAAGACATTGTTCAAATTAACGCAGATTTATGTGTTTGATTTCTCTATCTGATTCTAATTGAGGATGTGTGTCAACGTTTAGTTAAACTTCTAGGCTCTAAAAGGTCAGTGACGATTCTCCTTCCAGTTTAAATGAGTTAAGCCTTTTTGCAAATAAGACTGAGCAAAGATGCAAATTTAGTAGGCCCATACCTAGAAAAGGCGTGCAGTGAAAGGTCTTCAAAAAAAAACATGAATATGCACAAAACACTTTCTAGATCCTTAACTGTAAAATAAACTATTCCAAACTATCCGGTAGTTTATGTTGGTCTGTCACATAATGTTCCTATATGATAAAAAGTCTTATGGGATGTGTTTTATAACTCCATCTGTGTTACGGCATGCTCCAGGACTCTTTCCCGTCATTACTGGTTCACTCTTAGTTTAGCGTTACACTTACAGCCATTACTGAGGCTCTCCTTCCTTCTCTTTCTGCTCTCTTTGTTTGATCGGGGCTGTTTTTTATTCTCCTCCAGTAAGCTTGGAGGTGAACTAGAGAGAGAAAGGAGGCGGTGGGGGGAGAAAGAAATGAAAGAAAGAAAAGACCTCTAACGTTCTAACCTGTGTCGCACTAAGCATCTCCATGGTAGCACGACCCCCCCTGAAACAGCCCATCGTGCTCCACTGCACTTTAAAAGAAGTGCAGAGAAGGGGCAGAGCGAGGAAGGGTGTGAAGAAAGAGAGAGAGTCCAGATAAAGAAAACTGCAAACAGAAGTGGAGTACGGGTCTCCAAAGTTAACACATGGCTAAATCGCTTATCACCTTTGCTTTTATCTTTTTTCCAGCACCAATTTCTTCACTTCCTGCATGGAAACAACTTTAAAGTGTTTACTGTCTGATGCACAAGTGATTAAATTAATTGTTGAAACCAGCGCAAAAAAAGCCAGACAGAGAATCTAGCAAACCTCTCCTAAGCGTGTATGTTGAAATTCAGAAACGTTTTGTGCATAACTGTAACTTTATATATATATATATATATATATATATATATATATATATATATAT